GATTACATAAAACAACAGATACTTCAGCAAAACTAAACAAAAACAAAAGTTTAAACTAATTAATAAAAAAGTGAATTTCGAATATTTGCCCTTTGCCATGTTGGATAAAACGACTGATATTCGAACAACGACTTGTACTTGTTGCACGACCACCTAAAGTCAATGTGATTGCATTCATTACTGCAGATTTACCACCTTAAAATTAGTTTATTTTAAAAGAATGAAATTCATTTTGATAAAAAAGAAAACATACTGCCGTTATTGCCAATAACCATATTAAGGTTTTCATTAAAATCAAATTCAAGGAATGTATGACACATAAAATTTTTTACACTAACTCTAAGAATAGTACCAGCATTTTTATGTAACTAGAAAATAATTAATAAAAATGAACGATTAGTATAATAGTTGATAAGAAAAAAATAATATTTACATCAGTATTTTGTTGAAAAAATTGAGACGAATAAGTACTATGTTCTGGTGGTAGATTTTCATCTTGCTCTTCATCGTTGTGACCATTTTTTAGTTCAACATTTTTCTGTTTTTTACGTGGTACAGCTGCGACAGTGCCAGATGTCGAAGAACCACGTTTGGGCATTATTGAATGTGGATATTTCAATTAAAATTTATTCAGAAAACAATGTACGGAATCTAATTTCGAAGAAAAAAAAGTGAAACTATATGAACTAATGATAATTTTAGTTGTCAAAGAAAACAACTGGTAATTGTAGGGCTTCATTTTTTAGGAGAAGAACTAATAACCTTTATAATGCGCTTAATGAACTTGTTATTATGTGTTCAATAACACTGGTGGGAGACCTAACATTAGACAACGGTCGAAAATCCAACATATATTTTCAATAGAATATGGATGAATCAAAACCATCCATTCATAAAGATTTCCTTTAATCGATGACAAATTTAGTTTCTTTTTTACATATTTGTTATAGTTTAAAAGTTTAAAAGCAGTTATTTTAATGAAATTATCAATAAATTACTTAAAGATGTCGCTAGAGTAGTGTTGAAAAACTGATATATTTATTGTGAATTGACTTGAATTGATTAAATTTACATATTATTGAGGCAAGAAGAAAATTAAGTATTTAGTTGAACCTCAATTATGTTTGTATTTATTTTTCTGGAAGTGAAGAAAATAAAATCAAAAGAATATTCTTTTATTTTAAATAGCTTATCAAAAGTATAATTTTAGTATATTGGATTTCTACGTAAAAACGTTAGTAACACCAATAATATGAAACAATAACATATGACCCGAATTCTCCATGCTTCTTATGTT